AAAAGGAAAGTATAACCAAAGATTAAAGGGGCCAATATAATTTTTAAGAGACCATATGTATACCTAAAGGCTACGTAGCAAGCAACAATGCCATACAGGCAATACCTCCTTTTGAGTTGTTGGCCAGGGTGGCCAAAGGGATTCCCAGATAGTAACCCAGCAGAGAACTGGGAAATTGAACAGCAGACCCCAATCTTATCCAAAGGAATATTGACAACTGATTACCGCTAGATGAGGAACAGCTGACCCTCCTAAATCAAAGACCTCTAGATAGGCTGACTAGATTCACCAGAAGGACAAGTAGTGGGGAATGGGTGGGGGTGCCGACAACACAGCAGACAGTAGCAGGGATATCAGTGTATAAGGGCTCTAGTAGAGGGAGGGAGGCTATGGGAGGGTGCTACCTGGGAAGTGGGTCTATAAAAAGAATTCTTCAAAGCATAAAAATTTGCTCCTTAATAACTAGTAGATGTGCAAAACATTACCATTGAAATCTACCTGATGACTTTACATTCATGCTCAGGTGCCAAGGATCTTAGAAAGTAAGTGACTGTGACTAGTAATAATCAGATACATAGAGATTAGAGACGCATGTACAAACATCTAATAAAACCTCATTTAATTTTATGTCTTATAGGGTTTATAAAAAAAAAGAAAAAAAGAAATTCTTTCTGAGGATTAGAGAGAAGACTCAATGGTTAAGAGCACATACTGCTCTTACAGAGCATATGAGTTTGGTTCCCAGCACTCACATTGGGCAGCTCACAATGCCTGTAAATTGAGCTCCAGGAGCATCTGACACCTCTTACCTCTTTGGGCACTTCCATTCAATGTACATACCCCCACACACAGACACACACACACATAATTAAAAACAATAAAAATTAAAAATTAAAAGTCTTTAAAATAATTCTTCTAGTTAGTAGGGTTTTTTTTTTTTTTAAGCCCTGCTCTCAAAAGACCTCAAAAAATTGGTGTAAGGCCCGGAATTGTTCGTCTCCATGGAAATCTTTAGTAAAAGGCAAGAGATTTATACAATCTGAAGAGAAACCAGAGTATAATTAGTAGTTCTTTCCTGTTTTAATTTATATTGCACTTTATTTGTTTATGGGAGTCAAGGATGGACTCATGCCATGGTGTATGTTTAGAGGTCAGGGGACAACTTGTATGTGTTGAGCCTCTCCTTCTACCGCGTAGACTCTGGGGATGAAACTCGGGTTGCCAGGGTAGGAAGCAAGCACCTTTACCCACTGAACCATCTCATTGGCCTTTAAAAACAGTGTGTGTGTGTTTGAGTTTGAGACAGGCTCTCATGTATCTCAGGCTAGCCCCAAACTTACTCTATAGCCACGGTGACTATGTAAAAACAGTATAACTGATTGGGTTAATGGGGTTTCTAATGGAACTTCTGATCCTTCTGCCTTTGCAGAACATGATGTCTGGGGATTGAAACTGGATCTTCAAGCATGCTAGACAAGCTGAGATACGTCCCCAGCTTCCTCTCCTCTCATCAATATTTCTAAGAGCTTCAACATCTAATTTTAATTCTCTTTCAGCCCGCCTTGCTCCTTTGCTGCTTTCTCTAAAGTGATAAGCATTTGGCAGAGGAATTTGAGCCCTCAACCAGAACCTGATGAGTCACAGGTAATAAGGTCAATTCTCAGCTTTATTAAGTAATTGATTGACTTAAAAGTTTGAGTATCTGCATTTCATTGCCTGAAAATCATCATTCTAGAGTATAAAAGGCTTTTTCTTCAACTAGATGAGTAATCAGTGTTATAGTTTATATTTGAAAGTCCCCCAGAAGCTCAGGTATCAAAGACTTGGTCCCAAATATGGCAGTGTTGAGAGGTGGGGACCTGGGGAGGCGATTGGACCAGGAGGGCTGACCTCATCAATGGGTTAATTCATTGATGGAGCCATAGATTAATGACTGCTGAGAGGTGGTAGAGATAAGGCATATTTGGAGGAGGTTGGTGTTTAGGAGTGTGCCCCTGGAGGATATGTTTTGTTCCAGGCTTTTCCTCTTTCATTCTTCAGGCTTCAGGATGCTGTTAGACAATCATCTGTGCTCCATCATGAGTTCCTTGCCTTGATGTTCTCACTTGCCACAGGCCCAGAAAAAAAATGAACCACATGACCATGGACTGACCCCTCTGAGCCCTTGAACCAAAATAAACCTTTCTTCCTTTAAACTGATTTTCTTTTTTACAAATACTTTTTCTTCAACTAGATGAGTAATCAGTGTTATATTTGTTACAGCAATGAAAAGCTGACACAACTAGTTATATGATCAAAACAAATGTTTTATAGTAAGTAAGTAATAATCACACACTGAGAAAAACAACTGCTTTGAGATTTGCTAAATGAAAATCATAAAGGCTTACCACCAATCCATCATCAAGTATTCAATAGACTTGAGGTGCAGTTCTAAGATCTTTACATGAACCAACTTTTTTTTGTTTTCAAGGGGGTCTTCCTATGTAGCTCAGGTTAATTTCTAACTGGCAATCTTCCTGCCTCAGCCTTCCAGGTGTTTGATTATAAGCCTGTGCTACCATACCCAGCTCAAGTTATTTAATTTTTAAAAGAACCATGGGAACTGTTACTATTATAGCTCTATGGACTCAGAAACAGGTTAAATATTTGTTCAAGGTTATATATTTTAAATTTTATGTGTACAAGTATTTTGCCTGCATGTATGTAAGCACACCCCTGTCATAAAATACCCATGGAGGTCAGAAGAGGGAGTAGGATACCATGGAACTGGAGTTAATAGACAATTGTTAGCCACCATGTGGGTGTTGGGAACTGAAACTGGGTCCTCTGCAAGAGTACTGTAGTTAAATTTTACTTCTGGGAGGCGCACACAGCTTCCACCCCCCATCCTTATGACAAACCGAGTAATATTCCTCCAAACTATATTTTAGGGAACAAAAGAATTTATTGAGCTTGCTAAAAGAGCATAGGGTAGTGATGGGGGTTACTTACAAAGGTGTGGGCACATGTGGACTTCCTTTCTACAATCCTGCTGGGACTCTCTGACTTCCCAGCAGTGACCCGAGATGTCAAAGGCCACCCCCTCTCTTTGGCTTCCCTTGTCCCTATCCTTAGTCCCTCTCCACCATGCAGCTAAAGCTGACTGATTAAGTGGGAGGGGTGACTGACTCCCTCTGTTCCTCCCCTCCTATGGAGGGTCTATAGTCAAATTAGTTTGTGCGGATTGAAGCAAGTGGTAAATCCAGAAGGAGGAGAAGACATCTGTCCATTCCTTGCCCATCCAGCTTGTCTGGCAGAGGACAAGCCTATACAGCGGTGGCCAGTGCCCTTAACAGTTGAGCCTCTCTTCAGTCCTTTTCTATTTTTCAGTGATATATAATTTGTAAGTGGAGGAGTAAAAATTCCATTCCAGGCCACTTGCCTTGAGCTTTTGTTCCTAACAACTACCATGATATGGTCTCCAACTACAATTCTTTCACTTAATGCTCCTTGACCTAATAATAGTAGACAAGCAACATGCATTCTGTAGATGCCATAGTATGAATACAGAAATTTGACCCCTCTTCAGGCAGCCATGTGATCATGAGGTCAAACAGCCACAGTGCCATGTGATGCAATGTGATGTTGAAGGTACATTAAATTCATTCTAGATTTTTCATATGTTCCACTTAGTTGAAATACAAAATTATTTATTTAAGCGTAGACTCATACAAGGGGCTTAACAACCTCGAGGCTCTGTGAGTAAGACTGGGGGTTCCAAGAGGGGTCGTCGGTGCATCTCTTGCGTCCTTCAAGGGTTCTTAGGAGACACTGGCAGTGTTGCTCATGTCCCCGTGAAAAGCCAAAAAACAGCCAAAGCTATGAATTAACTTTTACGATTTTAAGATTGGACAATGCTTCATCCTACAAAATAGCTCGAATGTTCTGATGAGCTGAAAAGAAGAGGCTTGCCTTTTAGAAACAAAAACCCATAAAAAATAGAAATGGAGATCAAAAGTATATTGGTAGGAGAGCTGGGGAGATGACTCAGCAGTTAACAGCACTGGCTGCTCTTGCAGAGGATCTGGGTTCAGTTCTCAGCATCCACATGATGGCTAACGACGGTCCATATCTACAGTTCTAGGGTCTCCAATGCCCTTTCTGGCCTTTACAGGCATTTCAAGACATGGGCATGCAGACCAAACACTAATACTATATAAAATAAACCAATTAAAAAAATTTCAAAGTGCACTGGCCATTTCAGAATTATTTTCCTTTTAAAAGTTAAAGCAGAAACTTTCTTATCATGTTGGCTAAAATTGGCCCTGCTTGAATATTTGGCTTTTTCTCTCTCCTGGTTTCTTAGAAGGTCAGATAAATAGCATGGTATCTGGTAGCATAAAATTTTAGCATGTTTACTCTATCTTTGATTGGTCTGTTTGGGCCTGCTCCAGGAGTTAAGTCCAATCAAAGGCCTCCTATGAATTTTATTTGGTAGACTCTACCCAGCAAAATAAAATGTCCACATTAACCACAGCATTGTTGTAAGAGAGAAGTGTGAGATAGCAAATATTTGGTCTAGTCATTTATACTATGTATTTGCGCCAAGAGGACTTTTAATAATCTTTTTTTTTTCTTTGAAACTCCCCAAAGAAGTTTTAATACCCTTTATAAATTTTTGCCCAAGGCAGCTGTACTATCATCTACTTATGTGACTCTGGTTATCAAGCAGTTCAACATAAGTAAAATTTTCTCAGAGTAATTATATCTTATATACACACAAAAATATATAAGGATACCCCCTATAGTCTTATTCAAAATAGCCCCAAATTGGAATAACTAAAATGTTCTTCAGTGGATGAATGGTTAAAAAAACTATGGTATATTCAAGTCATGGACTGCTACTCAGCAAAAGAAGTGTGCTATTGATACATGAATCACTTTGATGAATAACAAGGGATAATGATGAGAGGGGCAATCTCAAAAAGATACTCTTGTTTCCATTCACATTACATTCTCAAAAATGAAAAAATATGTAAATGGAAAATTGATTACTGTTCTCCAAGAGGCTACAGTAGGAGGTAGCTGTGAATGTGAAATTCAATAGAAGGGATCTTGGGATAGATGGTGTGATGGTTAGTTTTGCATATCAACTTGATTGAGAAATGAGATGCCCAGATAGCTGATATAGTATCACTTCTGGGTATTACAAGAATGTTTTCAGAAGAGATTACCATTTGACCACTATATTGAGTGAAGATCTGTCCTTGTCAATAGAAGTGGTCATCACCAAATCCATGTAGGGTCCAAACAGAAGAAAGATTGAGGGGGAATTCTCTTGCTTCCTGAATGGAGACATCTGTTTCCTGCTCTGAGACATCAGTGCTTCTAGTTCTTGTGCCTTCACTCTCCAGGACTATCACCCTGAGCCCCCTTTTTCTCAGACGTTCATATTCCCTGATTCTTAAGCCTTTGAAGTTGGACTGAACTGCACCACTGGCTTTCCTGTTCTCCATCTTGCTGATATTATATTGTAGAATTTCTTGGCCTCCATAATCATTTGACCCAGTTTCCATGATAAATTACTCTTCTATCTAATTATCTATCTATCTATCTATCTATCTATCTATCTATCTCTATCCATCAATCCATCTTTCCTTTGTGTTAGTCCATTTTGTATTGTAGTGACTAAACTGGGACTGGATAATTTGTAAAGAGATTTATTTATCTCACAGCTCAGGAGACCCAACAGAATTGTACTGGCTTCTTTTTAGCTCTGTTGGTGGTCTGATGGTAGATAGCATCATATTTATGGTGTTTCCAAACACACCTTTACAGTTATGCCTTAATAATAATAACAACAACAACAACAACAACAACAATAATAATAATAATAATAATAATAAAAACAGCCTGAGTCTTAGCATCCATTTTAAGGGCAAGAGTAGACTAAACTGCTGAGAGCCTGTTCCTTCATAATTCTCTTAAAACTGTGCCTCTAAGCAAAAGCTTCATTCATTCTTTATTGCAACAGGATATCCAGCATGAAATGGGGAAGTAAAAATCATATCCTTATCAGA